GGCCTGGATCTCATACAGCCTGAAATCCAGAAAGGCGCATCACTGCAGACCGGAAGCTGTAGGATAAGCCCTTCATTCTAGGTTGAGGAATGGTCCAGGGTCCCAGATGCAGAGAGGGTAGGGGAAACCTAGTTATCTATTATCTTTCTCCTTTTCTCATGCCCAGGTTCCCAACCAGTTGTGCAGTGGAGGCAGCAGTACCTGGTAGCAGTGAGGCCTTCACCCTGGAAGGACAGTAGCTAAACGAGTGGTGTGGCTGGGTTCCAGGTGGCCAGCCTCTTACCTTCCACAGACTAAATCTCCACACATATTGTTTCACTGGCTGGCAAATTCTCCCTGTAACTGAAAGAATCCATAGCACCTCAGTTCCATACAGTCTCTTCTCAAAGGAAGAAAAGTAATTTTGTGAGGCCATCCTCCTGCCGTAGCCTCCGAGTGCTGGGATTACAGGCATGCCACTACACTCAACTCTCAGACTAAGAAGGAATTTGCTTAAATAAATCATGAACAGTGCATTTGGCTAGAGTAAAATGGAACTATAACGAGTTTAGTTTGAGGGGGAGGGCTCATGTTTATTTAAAACCTACTTCTAAAAATAGTTCCAAATAAAGTGCTCACAACACTTGAGTCATTTCCAATGTGTGGGACTGAAGTACCTGCCTCCCAGAATCCATTGGTTTAAAAGAGAGAACACTTTCTTCAATTTAGGGCATTTCTTTTCCTTTAAAAATAATGTTCAATTTTATTTTACAAGCATATATAGTAGTTTTTAACCTTAAAAGTCCAATCTATTTCATGTGGTTTGGCTTTGAAAATATGATTAAGATCAGGTTATTTACTTCTCTTTATATAGTAAGCTTTTGTATATTAGAGCATTAAGGTTCTTTCTTTTCATTTTTAAACTCTAAGGCTTAGTAGTGATAAAAATGATTTGTTATATTTTTCCTTTCCCCTTCTGGGGAAATGAAATTTCAGTGCTCTGGAAGAAATTAATTTTAAAAACACATTCTAACAGAATGGAAATGAAATCAATTTTGTTCATGATTGAACTGCATCTACTCTGAGGTATACTGATCTCTGTGTACCGGTGATAAAAAACAAGATACTACAGCTCAGTTCCATAGAGTATCCTTTGCAGCTCTCATCACAATGCACACACTTAACAACATCCGTCATTTTCTGTCTGTTTGACACTGATTAATTACTCTGATCTTTTCTGCTGTTACACCATTGCCTTGGCACTTCAGGTAGCCCTCAACAGTCGAAACAGTTCAGCAGTGTGAATTATGTATTTATTGCTGTGACCTCTCCTGCCATTTAATTAACTTAATTAAGTGTGTGTACCTAATCTTTGAAATTAATATTGTAAAAAAGCCTTTATTTATATTGCATTTTAGGCATGAAAATAACAGTATCATCTTTTTATAAGGCAATTCATACAATTTTAATTTTTTTAACATAAGT